GCCTCTCTGAGGACTTCTCCTCGGAGTGCACACCCTGTGCTGGCTTGGGAAGGGGTTTGGGGGACAGCTGGCTTGGGAAAGGGTGTGTATGACAGCCGCGGCAAGTGACAGCGATGGCTATCCTGTTTCTGCGCATGTGCAAGAACATCCTTTCTGGGTTCTGTACGGGATCTTCTCACTTGTGTGTGAACGGCAGATACGGTTCCCAGGGGGCGCTTCATCACGCTTTCGTTAATTGCGCGATGATGCTAGTTGCGTCTGATACCCATTTCCGTATTGTGGGGTTTCTACCAGTATAGTTCTAGATTGATCCTTATATCGCTTTCTTGCCACTTTGAGCCCCGCGTGTGATAAGGTCCTAAGTCTGCCAGAGTAGGATGCTCAAGTCCAGTAACAGACGCTCCCCATTGCGTCACTCCAGGAACTCTCTTAACAGTTCCAACACATCTGCTACGGTTGGCTGACCAACCTCCATAGCAGATGAGATCAGGGGGGCACACGACACATCTTGCATAGACATGTCAAATGATGTACTTTATGTACCAAAGTAACCTACTGCCCAGAAACCTGATCCCAACTTGACATTGTAGCCAATTGTGACCTTGTATTGTGACCGTGAACCCTAGTTTATGCTAGCTGTTCACAAGCAGCAACACATAACTGCATAGTGCAGCCTAAGTGTGTTGACTGAGGGTTTTTTTTTTTATCGTTATAATCTTAACCACTCTATTTTGAGGTTCATTTGGTCATCCTAGAGAATGTAATATTATTCATTCAATTAATGTCATGGAATAATTTAAATTAGCACTTTTTTATGGTATGTCATATATATAAATGTAAATATATTATATATATGTATGATATATATATATATATATAATATAATATATATATCATAAGTATTTATGCATATAAACAGTCTAAATTAATATTATCATTATTATTAGTGGAATTGGGCAGAGTGTAAATCCATATGAAACGCTCGTGGCCCCCAACAAGCAACCTTTCCCAAAATAGAGACAAGGTTAATGGCCAAAGGCCAAACACTTCCCTTTGTGGGACACCAGAAACCAGCCAGAATACACTGGCTAGTGTAGAATCACCAGGTAGAAACCCAACCAAAGGGCCTACCAGTTACATTGGACACCAAAATGCCCAAAACTTCCCTTTATGGGACATAGAAGCCAAGCTAACACCCCTTGGCAAGCGTGGTGACTGTGTGAGTGTGTGGGTTTTTAAAAATTATTATTAATATTAACCTATTAATATTTATTGTTATGGTTCATGGGACATCACAGATATCCAGGATACCATGCAGATTGCTGCCCAACTTAGCCAAGCCTGAAAGGTCCCCAGCTTATACTATGTTTATTAAAAACTACAGTTCCCATGATTCCCTAGTACTGAGCCAGGGCAGTTAAAGTGGACTCCATTTGCACTATTTCTGCCTATGACTTGCCCAAGATCACCCAGTTGTTTACATGGCTAAACCCGGGTTCGAACCCTGGTCTCCAGAGTCATAGTCCAATGTTCAAACCACTACACCACACTGAGGGGGGAAGCAGACCAGGGCGTCCAGGACGCCCTGGGACAGTGCGGCGCGGGACCGTGGTAGCCGCACTGCAGCGCACCGTCGATGTCTCTGAAAGGAGTGCTAAATCAGCGCTCCTTTCAGAAGACAGGGAAAG